CTTCCATCACAAATCCAAACACAAAAGAACAAGTGCCTTTATTATATATTACTCTGAGGACAAGAGAAATCATCAGAGTAGCAAAATTGTGTCACTGGAACAGAATGCAAGACACTCCACCTTGAACTCACACACTCAGAAACCAGGAAAATCCTTCTATTATCATCAGCGTAAGGCAAAAATTGAAAAAACATAAATTATCTCTTCCTTTCCCACTTTGCTGTTCCTTAGCCCCACTCAAGAGATAGGGCCAAACACACAGCCAGAGGCAGGAGCTATGTATGCCGCTGTTACTACCACTTCAATGGATGTTGGAAAAGCTGGTGAGCCAAGGATAATGAAGGGTATGAACAAGCTCTGTAGGAACCCTAATATGACTATCAGCAGCAACAAGCAGGAAGAAAAGGTATACTGAACAGCTGAAGTTACTGGTAACAAATGAAAATTACCTTGGTTCAAATGCTTTGGATTATAAAGACCATCTCTTAATAGTCTTAATTTCTTTCATTTCCCAGACTGCCATTTTTAGAGTTTACCAGCCAGTTTTAACAAAGCCAAGTAAGTCTTGACTGATGTTAAGTCAGAGGCTAGCCAAGATTTAGTCACAACAGATCAGCCATTAAAAAGTACTATTTCCAAATTACAATAATCTAATTTTGTAGATGCAGTGTCTAATGGACCCAAAGCAAGACAGACAAAATTCCTTGGCTGCTAAGCATATCCTCTTAACCAGTCTTATCCATCAGGGCTGCCTAACAACATTAATGTGGCTGTCTCAAGAGAATAATTTGTATCCTATACCAAGCACAAACTGCGAAAGCTTAGCTTTTCACAATCATTTTTATTCCTTATGTCAATCAGTTAACATTTCCTTTAATAGGAAGGGTCAAAAGACAAGTCCAACATTCTGAAATCAAATTTTGTGGAACGAAGCCAAGAGTGTCCAGAACCCTCTGAAGTGAAAAGCTGCATCTTATCAGACCTGGTCCAGTTGTACAAAACAAAATGTCTACTTTCAGTCAGCCAGTATCTCCACATATAATACACAGTATGACAGTTATATGGGACAGTGTAAGTAAGTACAAACAGCATTATTTCATCTAAACAAATCCAGTTAACCAGTCAGTAGAGTTCAGATTCTAGCTTCAATTCTGAAACCAGAATTTGTCTGTCTGATAAAATTTACAGACCTTACCCCATCTCCCCCCAGCTCTTTATGTGAATTGCAACATATATATCAGTAAAAGACACAGCACTTAGTAATTAATCCAATAAGTACATTTATTTGCTCTAATATTTGCTCTCAATTATTAGGTCAGGATTGTAAATTCTTTTACCTATTTGCATTTTTGGATTACAACAAGCAAAGCAGGCTAAAAAAACATTTAAGTTTCATGTCAAAAAACAAATTAATTTCAGCAATTTCTTAGTTAAATCTCAAATATTCAAGTTCCTCTTGAATATTCTACTCAATATTATTGAATAACAAATTCCTCTGTGTAACAAACAAAATGGGAAAGGCAGCCTACAGCAATCTGACTTCACATTGTGGCAGTCACAAATGACCTGTAAGGCAAGATGCATTTCGGTTCCCAACACAGGCTGAGTTTTTCAGCAAAAAGCTCAAAGCTTTACAAATAATAAATCATAGTTTTAGTTTCGAATGTATTTTCATTTCTTTAGAAAGTGCTATTTCCTATACATCCTTTTAGAAGGGTGGCAACAATCCCCTCAGCAATCAGTGAAGACATGCAAAAAACCCTGCTTTTCCACTTCCCTGACTTGTTTTTGTTACAAAGCCCTCAAGTGAAACAAATATATCAGTAGAGGAAGGGGTTTTTTGGCAAGTAAGTATTCCTTATATGTAGTAAGAGTTTAAGGAATGATTAACAGAAAGGGAACCTCATGTTGAATTGCAACAAGAAAATCAGAAAGGCTGTATTTCTACTCACGAACAACAATACAATCACAACAACAACAATTTACCAGAAAATACCGCTTACAAGATGCCTCAATGATTCCTCTCTCAGGCTACAAAAGAACTCTAGACTTCTAAAAATGTCTTTTACTTTCTCTTCCTCTATTTAAAAAAAAAAAAAAAAAAAATCTCACTTGCTATTTTTTGGCACAAGCTCCAAAAATTTCTAGCCAAAGAACTATTCTAGACCACATCTCTATTTCAGACATATTTTTCTTTAAAACAAAAAGACACAAGTGAAATTGATTTTCAGAAGACAAAAACCTTTAACAAATTATCAGTGAGGTTCTTCTCAAATCAATAGCATCCTTTCCCAACAAGCTTCTTCACAAATTCGATCAGTTAAAAACAAAAAAGGATTCTAATATCACATATGTAAACTTGCATTTGACAATTATTTTATCTAAAAAAAGGAAAAAAAAAAAAAAAAAAGGACCATCTATTAGCATTTTGCCTCAGTACAACCTGCAAACGTAAGCGCCTGTTCCTGGATTTCAGTGAAAGTACTCGCACAGCAGAAATATAAGAATTCAATAATTCTTGTCTTACTTATTAAAAGTGCTTACCCCTAGTACTAAATAGATGCCAGAGGCAGCAATTGATCTTACAGCACTTCAGTTAAGTCTGCAATATATTTAACACATAAAGGAGACCAGTTTCATCACATAGAGAAGGATTCAATGTTAGCAGGTAGCAGCTGCCAGCACTTTGATACTGTTATTAGAAATGGTTTAGACAGTTCATACACACAGCATTGATGTGCTTTCTGGTTCAGGCATTAGTAGCTAGATCACGCACTTGAATCACTCTATGAAAGGTACCTTAAAATAGAGTGGGGTCTGAGATCATTCTTATCATTGTAAATGCAGAGCAGTTTCATTGACCCTTATTTTAAAAGTCAATGTGCTGTATTTACTCCCAGGCTCCTCTAACACAGTCCAGGAGAGGCAAGAGAGACACACACCAACTGATGAAAAAATGAGCGAAGATGAGTATTATTTGGAAAGGCAAATAGTGCAACACATACAAAAAGACAAAAGAAATTAATCTCTTACACATCGAAAAAATAATATCCTGGTTTTCCATAGTAATGTACATCGTTCCCATTCTGAACTTCTTAATGTTTGATGAATACAGAGTGAAGAAGATTAAAGTCTTCCTTGGCTAGGCCAATGCAGCTACCCAGAACAAAATGGGAGCCATTAATTGATAAAACTAAGAGGAAAACATGGTGCGGCAGTTGTTGCATGTGTTGAAGTTGTGTGCAGCACCTTGCAGCCAATGAGCAGAAAAACTTTCCCCTCATCTGACCTAGTTCTGTCAAAGATTCACACATGGAGATAGTGGGTGTAGAGGTGACACATGCAGTATCTTTAAAGATTTTGGAAGGCAACAAATCACACTGAAGAATACCTAAGACCTCGATGGGGAAAGAAAAGCTAGCTGAACTCCAGAAAATTCAGACAAGGTATTAGAAGACTGCCCAGAACTGTAGGCACACAAGAAAATGAAAAGATTAGGGCCAAGCCATTTTACAAAAACTAAACAATGATGAAAAAAAATGTGCCAGAAGGATGGTCGGTTTCAGGACAAAGTTACATGATGCTGCAGGTATGTCCTATTTCAAACAAGCTACAAATTTAAAGAATCCTTTTTTTTTTTTTTTTAAAAAAAAAAAAAAAAAAAAAAAAAAGCACCATGTAAAAAATACTGTAAAAATCCAGTATGGCTGCAAAAACATAATCCAGTTTGCTGGACTGTGGATTGCTGCTGACTGCACTGTGTCAGATACAGCATAGAAAGGCACTGTCCCCAGTGAGCCTTCACACAAAGTCAACAAAGAATAGCAGAAATAAGGAATAAAGGCTCAAAGAAACATTAATTTTCCATTAGATTATTCTAAAAAATAAATACTAATTATCTCCAACTCACCGTATACCCAGCCATTGGTAGCTGGATAGATCCTGTACAAACAGTGGCACAGGTTGCCCAGGAAAGCTGTGGAGTCCATCCTTGGAGATATGCAAAGCCTGACTGCATGCACCCCTGAGCAAATTGCTGTAGCTGACCCTGCTCTGAGCACGGAAACGGACTGGAAATGGACTGGAGGATTCCCAGAGGCCCCTTCCCCCTCCAGGAATTCTCTGATGAGATTTCTCAGAAGTTATTTAAGGATAACTGTTTTTCCACAAAATGAGTCAATGAGGGTGCCCTATACACAAGTTAAAGCCTTGGAAAAAGAAGCATACAACTGTGAATGAAGTCTACAAATGTGTGTTAAATCATCTTTACTGGTGGACAGAAGAGGACCTTGGACAATATCATGCAGGAAAATCATTGGTCATCAATGATGAACAAATTCACGGAGGAACCTGACAGTGAGGCACAGCAAAATGAAATTCGCAGTCTGGACATGAAAGGCCCCTCAAAAATTGAAGCCCCTACTCAAATCTAAATTTAGAAGATAAACACAGCTGTGGCAGGTGTCTGAGGCAAATCTTAATCCAACACAGTCAATACTCCAGCCTTTCTGACTGTATCAATAATTTTCTTCACAGTTCCTAGGCAAGCCACTGTGACTCTTTGGGGAGTGCAACAAACAGGAATATATATAAAAGGTCCTCCTATATAAAAGGGACAGCAGTCTCTGGTCAAAAGTGATCAATGACCTTCTTGGAGAAAGAAAAAAGCTCTGGATGAAAGACATGACAGAATTGGGAACTATGTGAGCCACCTCAGTACTCATTTACTGAAATTTACAGGCTTTGAACAGGCTTACAAAATAACTGAACTAACACAAGGATCTTGCTCAAAACATACTACCAAAAATAACTTTTAAAAGTGTGCTTGATTTTGTGAAACCAACCTCCAAAACCAGAAACTCAAAACAAGAAATAATTTCTTCCTGTTACCTATTCTTCCCAATCACACCACAGGACTATGGTAATTACTACATGCCATTACATAACACATATATGTTCTTGTCCACCCCAAAAGAGAAGTTTTGCTTGTTACCTCTTACCGACAGTTATTTTGACAGTTCTTTTCTGAGAGTCCATCCTCATCTTCTCCCATAATATCCACTGCCGAAAATATCAGTGCAACCAGAATTGCAAAGCAGCATACCAGTGCAAAGATCACAATGCATCTTTGCTGGGACTGAAAGAGATTAAGATTAAAAAAGTTTTAATGGTGTGATCACATTCCAGTCAATGACCTGAGACTCTAAAACTTTTACATAAGATCTAAAATTCTTTGAAGATCTTACTGCCATAGTTGTCAACATGAAGTACACCTCTCTCTAGATGAAAACACTCTCAAAACTGTCCTTCGGGTATCACCTTGAGATGTATTTTAAATCTCTCAGACATTGTTAAATAATTCATGTCACAAATAACAGTCATAATTTAAACTGTTTTCTGTTTGTACCACAATGAAAGCATTATGCATTAAAATAAAGATTCTTACATTACATATTTTCCGATTGTGCCTCACAGGTAAAGTACACACTTAGGACAGCACTTGAAAGCCTTGATAGTTTTGTTGTGTTTGGCTGAAATAAAACATGTCAATGCAAGGAGACTGAAGAGCAAAGTCTTTTTTTATTGCACACACTTTTTACACAAAGTAACTGACATTGTTACTATGACTGTCACAGCAACTGAGACACTTTGGCAAGTCCTTGCCCCACAGAACTTATAAGGAAAAGAAACTCACAGATGATAGGTGGGATTCAAGGAAACAATGGGAGACTGGTGCTCAGTATGATAGGCGATGCCCTCTGTATCTCAGCATTAAGTATTAAAACATGGCATAGCACTACCTTATCCTACAGTACGAAATCCTACAGTACTAAATCAGATACAACTGATTTAGTTCAGCCCTAGATAAATGTGAAACCTCCTAAAAACAATCTTCTGACATGCAATTTACATAGCTACATGAATGTAAAGCATATTTTATTCTGAAACCAAATGTTCCAGCAAATATGTGTGTTTTTCTACTGAATAAAATCTGCACAAAACCACACATATATATAAAAAATATAAAAGTCTAACTTCAGTTGCTACAGTTATTTTCATTATTGCCCTGTAATTAAAATGTCACATAAAGAAAAAAAGCTTTATAAAGGAATGGGAAAGTGGGAGAGTATATAGGAAAGCAGGAAAAGTGTAAGGGAAAGGAAGGAACATCATGGTTGCAGCTGAAAAACAACTTCACAGTATTTCCATTGTTCCTGACATTTTGCTTAAGAGGTAATAAGTTTCAGTGTAATAAGACTGTTTTCCTGTATGCATAAAGGCCTGACTTTATAAAAATAAGCTTGCAAAACTTCCAAACTAGTGCACATCCCAGAAGAAACAAGCTCATGCATTTCAGAACAAATCAGACATAAGCTTTTTATTTCAGTCTGTGAAAATCTAAAACACAGCAACTTCCTCAAACAGGAACAACTTTTCTGAAATTTACTGACAAATGTATCCTTCTACCTAACAATAACACTGAATATGCTGCTTAGATTATATGCATATTAGACACTTTTAAACATTTCAAATATATGTTTAAAACTGTTCTAATATATTACCTAAAATCTTACAAGAACAGAGCTTAAGAAAATCTTATTCAACCATTTACAAGAACAGAGCATAAGAAAATCTTATTCAACCATTTACAAAAGCCTACTTCTGAAATAAATAAAATTTGGACCTTTTTTTCCTACTGCTAGGTATAATCATGGCAACCTATGAAAAGAATTAGAAATTACTGCATTTGGATGTCCAGAATTAAGCCTGCAGTCAGACACACAGTAGGACTTAAGAGAAAAATGTTAAAACATTGCCTCATACTACTGGCAGGAAAAACAAAGACGTGCCAAAGAGAAAGACGTACTCAGATCTGGGACACTGCTTTATACCATTTCTTCATCAGGATGGCTCACACTCTTGCTAAGATGACCGTTGTCTCATGCAGTCTTTTTACAGTTCTGTGTGTATTTGCAGAAACTGTGTGATGCAGCTTCGTCCAAACACTGAGCATATTACCATGGCAGCAAGATAGCAAAGCTACTCCCATACCAGCAAGCTGAACAGAGCCAGGGCTCATTTTCTAGCCCCTAAGAGCAGGAGATATGACCCAGCATGGCTCGCAACACTAGCATTCTTTTTCCTCCCAAACCAGGATAACTGCAGCCATTCTCCTCACAGGGAACAGTCCCAAGTCCATATTTTGGGCAGATTTGTAGCAACATAATATAAATTTCTTCATGCCATTGCTCCAGGGAATAACTCCCATCTTCTTGCTGCATCGCCAGGCAAGCAGCAAAACAAATGCAACAGAGGGTCCCTGGACCAGAAGAGAGCATGATAGCCATCACGGTTGGGTCAGCACACGTGGAGGCAGAAAGAGATGTTTCATTAAAAGGAGTCCATGATACCTCTATCACATATGTCATAAGGCATAAACCAGCCCTAAAAACCTTTTAACCAGTTTAAAACTTAAAGGCCAAAGCTATAAAAAATTTACAGTGTATCAAAAATTATATGGTATCACAAAAAGAAGGGGGG